CTGTTCTGTTCTGCCTGTCACCTTCCAACTGGTAACACCTTGGACACCCGAGGAGTATTTATATCATAGAGCACTGTACAAATTAAAAATAAAACCAAAAAATTCCCCCCCTCATAAAATCCCCAAAACCACACACAGAAAGAAAAGAAAAAGCATCATGAAGAATTTTGGATTCCAGCTATGAGCACAAACCTAAAGGATGCTAAATTTGGGTGCCCAACAAGCATGGAAGCACACCAGGTAGACATTTATCCAAACTCAGCTGAAGCACGTTCCCCTGCTAATATATAATAATGGCATTCAGCACCTGAGTTATCAGGGATATATTTGGTAATTTATCCAAACTGAAGTTTATCAATCTCATCCTGTTCCATGTAAGGTTGCTAGAAGCACAATCAGGAGTTTCTTGGGGAGCTGGAGCGTTTGTGTTCTGTTGGGGCTGGATGCTTTTTATAAAGTTTTTGATTTTGTATGCACAAGTGTGTTACTGTCTGATGTCATCTTTAGTGCATAACGGTGTTTTAAAATGTGCTTATGGATGAAGATTGCCCATGGATCCATTAAAATTATTTCTTGAGGTAAGTGATATAGTTCTCTTATTTCAGAATTTGCTCTCAGCATTACAAAAGAAATGTTCCTACAGTTAGATGGCTCCATGACTGTTCCTAATAAAGCCTCTTCCTTTGAAAGAACTGGTACTTGTTGCTGTCAGAATAACATGCTAAATTAGAACAGATTTTAATATTGTTAATCTTCAGTGGAATTAATTCAATATGGTCCATAAATTTGGACTTCCATAAGCGACTCTTTATTTAAAGGTACCAGCTGCCATTCTGCAATGCTGGAGTACCACCAGACTTCCTAATAGCAGCATAATGGTATCCTGGAGTAACATTATTTCTATGGGGTGATAAATACTCAGTAGCTTCTCTTACATAGTAGAAGATCCAGGCCTTAGCACTGTATAAAAATATGCTGTCACAAACCTAGAAAAAACATACAAATCATCCAGTCCCACACAGTAAAACCAGCTGCTGGGTTTACTTGTGCCCCAGGGCAGCTTTAATTTGGACATGCAATATATCACCATAGGGCTACTTGATCAGAGGTGTAGTCTCAGGAAATATTTTCAGGACTATTCCATTTCCATTAGCAGTTTCTTGAGGATATATTGGGCACAAACTGGGTTTCCTTCAGTATTAATCATTCATGTTTTCTCTTTCATCCGGGTCTTTGCTAAAAGAGGATTTTCATGGAGGCCATGAAATTGCAAAATTTTGTCTGTTCTTATGGCTTGGAACAGCCAGTTCTATCAGTTAGGCTCCTTCAATGGTGTTTCACAGCAAAGGCTGGGTCAGAAACCCCTCTCCACTCTGGTGTCAGAGAACACCCAGTAGTGCTGACTATTTTGCCTTTCCATTCACTAGTTTCCTTCCCCTCTACCCCCATCTCTTTCTGCACACTTCAAGACCGATTCTCCTTGGCAGCTTTCTGCTAAGAGGTACTATTGCTCTGCTCCCCAGAGCAACACAGGTTGGTTACACTTCCCAAATGTGTGAGAATAGTACCTTCTCCAGGACCAAGTTTAAAAGTTAGTCACTTAGGACTTTCACAGAGCCCTAGGATGCTGCAAGCATCCAAATACTAACTATATCCCTTCCAAATTGAATTCTCCTGCAGCGGTATTATATTCATACACACCAATGCATAGATGATGAAGCCTGAAAACACCTTCTTTGTTTTGACTACAAAGCTGCAAATATTGCTTATTTTTCCTTGTTGTGAAAAGGGAGAAAGAAGGAGCTTTAAGAACCAAAATGTTCACATGAAGGTCAGCTGGTGAGACCAGCAGCTGACTGATGTGATTCGGAAGTGGACTTTGCTGACCCAGGGCAAAAAAAAAAAAAAAAGTCCCCAAACAAAACAATTCAAAGAATAACCCTGAACTACCAGTGTGTATGATTCTTAGTCACTTTACTAATTACATGATTCTGCTTTTTTAAGTAAACTGGATTTCCTCCCTCTGATATGTGAGGGTGCTTCTCAGGGCCAGTATTTCCCTCCATTTAGCTAAAACAAACAAGAGCTTTCTCTTTGAGTCTATTTCAGCATCATGAGATAAGTTTCCTTCCTCCTTTTAATAACTGCAGGACTCCCCAGAGGAAAGTGTCAACAACATTATTTCCTTCCAAATTCTAAGAGAGGTACAATGTTCTTGTAGGTGGTTAGATTAGATTACAATAAAATTAATAGTTGGTTTTAAGCTTTCGTTCTTCAGGTAGCAACCTCAGCTCTCATGAACATGTTACTTCAACTCACCTGTGATCTTTGTTCACCTTTCCCTCAGCTCTGCATCAGACAGTCACAGAGTACAAAAAAACTGCAGTGTCATTTAATTGCAACCCACAACCAAAAAATGTAAAATCCAGTACTTAATGTGATTGCTGTACCTGAATTTTCTACCCTGGAAGACAAAGGATCACAGGCTCTGTCTTGACAGCTTTATCGTGTCGTTTGAAACATAGCAAGAAAAGCCAGTGCAGCAGCCCAGGGCATGGGGATGAAGGAAGTAGCAATGATGAGACTGATGGTCACCTGCTGTACCTCTCAAATCACTGAGCTGAGCTGGTCTATTTGGACATTTTCTTTTATGAATAAATAAGTGAGCAAATAAAATCAGCTAGCTCCATCTGTTATTCACCCTAACCACAATAGGGTGGATTGATAGCTTGTAGATGGGGTTTTTGAGGAGATATGGAGAAAGTGTCCTTCTAGATTAATTCAAGGACAGCGCTCTAAGGAGTCTGTTACCCATTTTTCAAGCGTTCCTATGTTTATTTACTGAAACAACAGGAGTAATATGACATCATAAATCTTTTAAAAATTGAAATAGTAGTGCCAGTTTTGAAAGATTAATAGTAAGGAACGCCTTTTAGAGTGTGCTCATGGAAATCTAATATGAATGATTAGTGTTTCTGAACATTAGAATTAAAGTGTATAATTGTAATGTTATAGCAGCTATATAGAAGCCAGTGATCCCTTAATGGAATACATTGTGAATTTAATTATTTACATGGAAAAATCAGGGCTGATGTAGTCACTGAATGATAGATCTATGGTTTCCTGCATCCTGCAAGTGTTACCAAGGAGCAGTGTTGCTCTCTATGCAGACACACTCAGTCCACATTTTTATTTGGTTATTTTAAAATTCTACCCTACAGTTGATATCCTTCATGCTCTAGATCCTACAGAAACCTGGAGTGTCTTTCGGGCTATCTTCCTTCAAGGCCTACTCTTGCTGCCAAAATTCATCCATGAGGATTTGGCTTGTAGGAGAATGGTTCTCACATCGGAGGCTGAGGTTCATTCTTCAGGCAGGGAGGGAGCTGTTGAACCAAGAGACAACACAGGGTGCTTTACCCTGTACTACTTCTGCAGTGGTGGCTTCAAAAGACTTGATGATCTCTGAAGGTCCCTTCCAACTCCTAACATTCTGTGGTTCTGTGTGATTCTGTGACTCAAAATCATTTGGTGGAATCACATCCAGTAACAGCGTGCTTACAAACCAGGTATATACACTTGGGAGAAATGTTTCCCTAGAGTGACTTCTGGGTACACTTAGAAAAAAACCTCCATTCTTCAGATGCTTGTTTAGTGTCAGTAATATTAAAAGTACAGTTTCAGTCAAGAGCAAAGCATCACTGCCCGCACTAAAGGCGGGATCCTGTAGATTCAGCAGCTCTCTGTTGGCAGTACTCCCTGCAAGTACTGGGGACCTGCGGGTGCCCCTCTCAGGGCTCCTCAGCTGCCTCGGGATGCGGCCCTGTGCCTCCCAGCTCGCCCAGGGGCTTTACACATCAGCCTGTGCCCAGAGCAGCTGCACCAGCCCAGGGGGTTTGCTTGCTCCCATAAGCACTTGATTTGATAGCAAAGAGAAGAAAGAGGAGAATTTTTAAAATCCTCTCAGCCCCAGCTGCGGGACTCATTGTAAAACTATCAGACAGAATTCAGCAGAGTGGAAATCCCTGCTCTGATAAGCCCCAGCCCTGGAAGGTGAGGGATGCAAAGTTCAGGATGGAGGTTCACTTGCTGGATGCCCTCCACTCCCTCGTGCTTGGCTCTCACCGCTGTTGGTGTTACACATCATTAATGTTAAAAAAAGAGCATCTAACCAAATTGAGCTGTAAGCGTTTCACACCTAAAATACAGACTTCCTTTTCTGCTGGAAGAAGATGGTAATTCAATGAAACACTAATTCCAAAAATTCCTGGTGCGTGATCCTGCACATGGGTGTCTGTTTTTTTTGCATGCAAGGAACTGTAAATGCACTATATAAGAGCATGTTTGTTAACACAGTTTATTGGCACACTTATTGGCAAAGCATACATAAAATACAGTTGTATTATATAACACACTGACTCACTGTGTCTTTACATGATGAGTTGAACATATTAATATGTAAATGAAAAAAAATTAGTTTCTTTTATAAAGTTTCACATAAATACACCATAATAAAAAAAAAAAATTAAAACAAAAAATGGTTTGAGGGCTTTACAAAAATATTATACATACAAGAAATATACTATGAAAAGAAATAACAACAAAGCCAACTCAGATACAATAATAAAAACACAAAAGTTTTAGATTTATTAAGCTGCCCACAAAGTTAATGGATTACATGGCTTTAAAATATCTGGATCGACAGCAATTTTACAAAGCATAAACTCTCATAGGACTGGGTGTCTTTTTCCACATAAAAATATTCCTCATGTCTTTGATGAAAAAAAGACATTTCTTGTTTCAGCATTTTTATTAAATGATGGAAAGAGTATCTACTGGCATCAGCTAAATGTAAATTAAAAATGCCGGATCCTTTAAATGATTAACTGATGAAAGAAAAGTTGAAGAAAGAACGAAAGTTACTTTAAATTACTTTTCCTTAAAAGCTGATTTTTTTTTCTGAAACAAGAAATTTCAGGTGCAAGTTGAAAAGCAGAAAATATATTACAATTGTAAAAAGTTTTACATAGTTACGTTAATGAGATCCTGAGCACTGATGATGTGTTAAAATATGGCCATTGTTTGATAAGGGAAAAAACAAGCATTTCCAATAAAACACATTGTCAGAAATTTGCCATGAGACACTATTTAATTTTCAATTATTTTAATTGAGGTCAGTGCCAGTATCATGATGTATGTGAATGCTTCCAAGAAATGTATATGGAAGCCTGTAGAAGAGTTTTTCCTAATTAAAAAAATTCAGATCACTTTAGTTTAGAAATAGATACTGTATCTGTTGAAAGGTGATTTTTAATTTTTTTTTTTTTTAACAATGCTGTGAAACAGTAATTAATAACCCACTGACATACATTGCAGTGGGCACTGCTGCAGAATAACCTATTGAGAAGCCTGTGGTGTGGGGTTTTCAGATTTAGTCTCCTGGTTAGCAGGAGGTTTGCTGTTCCATGGGCTGTTATTTCCCAGTGCAGGTGAATTGTTGAAATCTTCTTCATCATCCATGCCATTTGCTGCATCGTACTGTGTGTTCTCTAATCTAGTGATAAGCCTTTCGTCTTCATCCCCAAACTCGCCTCCCATCAGAGTTGGTTCTCCTACCACCATCACATCCTGTGAACAGCACCCAATATTTGTTATATGGAAACCTTGAGAGAGAAAAAATCAACTTAAAAAAATTATGTTAGAGAATTGGCATCTCTTAACTTTGTGATATTTGAACAAGAGTTAAAAGTTCCTGCGTAGAAGGAACCAGGAGACAGGCTTATGCTTTATTGCTAATTTAAATGGAAAAAAACCTGTAACACATCTCTCTAGCCTCATGCTCATGGCTCTGGATCTCAGAAGCCCCAGAACTGAAAAGCAGGCAGACTGAAAAATGTGTATGACTTTAAGAAAATAAGCTGGCTAGGACACTGCCTTAAACTCCTGCTTGAAATATTTAGCCTTTATCCAGTAATTCTTTCCTGAATCATTTTATTTGGAAAGGCACCAGGGAGCATCTCAGTTGGAACTTGGCGATATGCGTATTTTAAAAGTAGTTGAAAAGAAACTGCATTTCTTATCCTCGGAGCTCTGGGAAGTGGAGCACAGCACTCTGATAAAGATGGTAACTCTCTTATCCATAGCCAGCCAAGCCCTTTTACGCATCCAATATACTTGACATTCTGCTACTTAATTATGGTAATTAATTTAGGTAAAGTTTTCGATAAAAACAATGTTCACACTGATTTGACAATTTGCATAGCTAATTAAGTCATTAGCAAAAACCTGCTGATTGCCAACAAGCCCTGAATTTACCATCTGTTATTTCATGGTGCCTGTCACCTAACTCCATGTAGGCAACCCTGCCGCCAATCTGTGCAGTAAGAGGACCAATCTGTCCAGCTGGTACCGTAAAAGGAAGATGAAGAGTGCTAATTATAATTACACTGATGAAGCTAGTAGTCATCAAAAACTGAAGCATGCAAGAAAGAAAGAATTCATCTAATCACTGCTTTAAGTACAAATTGTCCTTCCATGAAAACAAGTAAACCGCCTACTGTACTCCAGAGCATGACACTTTTGCTGCAAAAAACCTAACCAGCATGGGATAGAAAGGTGCAAACTTGAGATTGGAAAGCAAAGGTGCAAAGCCAGAGAGCTCGTTTGTTCTCTTGAGCGGAGAACTAGGCTGCTGTGCTAACTGCTACAGAAACACGTGGGATGCAGCTTTTCATGCAGCTCAGGTGGCAGGGCATCAGCTAGCGACTGGTAAAAGTGCAGTAATTCTAGATGTCTAGCTTTGTACCTGCTGATTTAACAAGCCCTTCCAAGAATCCTAGCGAATGACAGATTTGTAAATTAAAGGATCTGTTCCTCCTTATGAATGTAAAAGCATTTGTAGAAAGTAAACAGAAGACAAATGTTTGCATTCAGTAAGGTTTCTTTTTAATCAGATACATACTTCCTTCACCGTGAAACAATATAAGTTATTGCCTGGAAGTATTTACACTCTCTCTTGATATCCCCCAGCAAAGGCTGACATGCTACAGAAGAATGCTCATATCACATTTTCAGCCTGTGCTATGTGAAAAATTTGTGAGTAGATGGAAACGGGTACATGATTTCTTCTTTACATTGTCTATATTTTGTTACTCCACATAGCCATAAAATATTGTGTTAAATAAAACTCATACAGCTTTGGGACACAGAAGTTTAAAAGACAAAGGTGTTAATGACCGAATGTTTATCCTCATTTACTTTATCCCTCTAAACAACAGACAACTTATAGTGTGCACTGCTGAACCAGACCTGACCCCATAGTATTGCGAGAGCATTAACAACAAGAGAGACCCGGCAGAGGACAGCAAGTTGGGTTTGAGCGTGCAGTGTGGTATGGCAGGCAAAAAGAACCACAGGGGCTGAAATACAGAATCACAGACCGAGGTGGCAACAGCTCCTCTTACTTCAACGCTCTTGAGTACAGACCTCAAGTTCTCCCTGTCACCACACCAGCAAGAGGTTGGCAACTTGGATGAGACTTAGCAAAGTGCATCAAAAATAGCTGTGGGGCTAAAATACCTGGCTGGGGAGGCCACATGAAAGAATTAAATACTTACTACATCCACCAAATGATTGGGAGGGGTAAGTACCCTTAACAGCTGCAAGTGCTGAAAGGAAGAGGACCACTTCAGGCCAGTATGATGAGATGTAAACTAGGGTGTTAAGATGACAGTAAGTAGGCAAAAATGTAACCCCCACTGCTAAGACAATATCCCTGTTACTGAGAATACGGACAGAGGATTAATGACTCCACTGAACAGTGCTAGCTAGCTCTGCTGACCTGGTCACCTAACACTGGGCTGGCAAAAATCTCAGTCTGTGGTAGGAAACATTCCTGGATCAGTGGGGAGATGCTCAATGACCTTGCAAGTATTTCAATCTCTAATTTCTCAAGTTCTTTGCAAATATTATTCCTTTAATAATGACACCCACTGAGAGGACAGTTTGCACTTATATCTCTCTGGGAATTAAACTACAATTATGTTGAGGTTAGTGGAGTTTTCCCTCATTCTATTTAAGAGATAAATATCACAGCATTAGTTACATGACATTTTAAAAAAAAAAAAAAAAAAAAAAATCTTCACAATCCTGCCACTTATAGTTATGTCAGGCAAAAAAAGTGTCTCAGGAAGCACACATGCTGGTTCCTCCCCAAAGAGGATTCTGCTCCTCAGACTGAAAGCTGAAGACCCCACCGAGTGCACCCCATTGAACCTCCACTCACTAGTTCCCGTGCAATGACCACCAACCTCTGAGGAGGACTGGAAGTGACTCCTTTTAGAGCCCCTCAATGCTTCTCCTTAAATTGGCCAGTGGGGGTCACTGCTGTTGAATGACACAAGGCTCCATCCCTCCCAGGGTTGAGGCTGCAGCTCTGGAGTGCTCCTAGCTCCTGCTCATGGAGTGAGAAGCAGAATCCAAGAATTAAACCCTAGTCTCTTGCATGGCAGCACACACTGCTATGGCCTAGTTATGGTAGCACATATTTGACTAGATCAGTTTAAAAAAGATTTAGACTGTAGTCACTCAATCTTATTAATTTACTCTGTGATTAGAAACAGCATTTTTTGGTCAAGGAATGTCTCACAAGAGTAAAATATGGTTTCAGTGAAGCACTGTAAATAAAGCAGTGGTTGTTTTACATTATGTGATAGAAATGTATTATTTATTATTATAACCACAAAAGCAGCTTTCATGTATATCATAACTTTCATCCTGAAATAACCCTAATTGCCATCCAAACTTAAATTGATGCATACAAACTGTACACAGAGATCACTTCATACACAGCTCAGATACAAGCACTTCTATTTAACAGACCAGTCATTTCTCAGGCTTCATCATTTTATACCTAGCCTGAAAGTTTAGCTCTACTACGCCCCGTTACGTAACTAAACCTTTTAACTTGGGATTTTATAAGATCATCCTATGGCTAAACAATATTGGAGTCTGGAGGTAGACATTGTGGGCCATGTAAAATTCCCCATCCCTATGCCTGCCATCTTTGCTGCTATTAATATGTAGCCCAGCTCAGTGTGTTATAGTGATTAGTTTGTAGCTCAGGTGTCACAGTCCCCAGAAGCAGACAAACAAACAGTGCTTCACAAGCTTGAGATAATTAAAAATGCCTGAAATTATCAAGCATATTGTTCAAGCAGGTTTCATACTCCAAGGATTGAAAGTTGCACTGGTTTTAGCAGCCAACGTATCTCTAAGGGCTAAGGTGCAAAAGAAGGGTACCTCCTCCTGCCTTCCTTCCTTCTTACAGAATTGTGTTAGTGGTGATTATTTTAATAATTGACTTCTTAGCTCCTTGCCACAAAAAATAATAATAACTGAGAGCCCCATTGCTGCCCACACCCATAATGGTCACTGCTTCCAAGACAAAAATGACTGATGCTGGTGTTGAAATGATCTATAGAGACAGAACTGACATTTTAATTAGGTTTCAGAGTAAACACTTTCTAGAGGAAAATGGTTATCTTTCACATCTCATCACAGTCCTCTCTGTTAACTTGAAATTCTGGTCTTGTTTGGAATATTTTTCCTGAAGTGCAACAACTGGAAACCAATTTGTTCATTCTCATCTCCTTACAGCTAAATCTTAGATTCTGAATTGCACAGTTCTGAGACACAGGATAATTTCCAACACTAATCTTCTGGCCCTGGAACTGTAGTTCTGGTACTACAACATCCATTACAAAGCACCTAAACCTATCCTCTGTTTCTGAAACACTAAGAGAATGTCTTGTTCCCTTCCACATTAGCAGGTTTATTTAGGGATTTGGCTTTTGAGGAGCTTACAGAGAACTACAAAGAGAAGGAGAGATTATTGAGGTATGTAACTCACTTAAAGAGTGCAGGGAGGCTCTAATTAAGACTCTGGATGTAACAAAGAACATTTGATTTACTTGGTGGCATGTAGTGATGCTTTATTCTTTCCAACACAAATGATACTTCACTGGGTTCATGGTTATAGTATTACACTCACCAGGACCTTCATTAGTGAATGAAAGCAAAATCTACCTGTTAATTTCTATAGTTATGATTGGGAGCAGCCTAGAGCAATGGTTCTTAAGAGTTCCCGAGCGTTGTGCATTGCTGTCAAATTTCCATATTGAAATAGGTGAAAATGGATCAATGTACACTGTTTTTATTAAACTTCACAGAGGATGATATTTAAATGATAATGGCTGTGTGGACCCCTTTTGACCATCTTGCATATAACTGTAATCCACAGATCACAGTGGGCTTGCAAGAAAGTTTTGTTTGAAACAAGTATATTAAAAGATTCAAAGGAATACAATTTCAGACAGAAAAGAGGCTTGAAAACTGAGCAAAGACTTGGGAAAACACTGCAGCTAGCTTAACATATTAGAGAAAATTAGTACTGTCTAAGTGGCAAGGCAATGACACATCCAACTCAGATAACCAATTTCTCTGAAATCATAGGAAGGCTAACATTAGAAAGGCAGCTTTTCTCTCAGCCTTGCGGAAGGGTCTTGCCCATATTTGCTGTGTTTAAAGGAAAGAGGAAATTGGTAATTCCAATTTCTGCACAATGGGCAAATATTTCTTCCAAAGATCAGATATAATCAAGAATGTGGATAAATCTAAGAACAGTTTAAATGACTGGCAACTGCTTAGACTAAGCTGAGTGTACTATGATTTCTGGGTCCTTGGTCTATGAACTTTCTGTCTTCTTTTCCTGACACTAAAAGAAAAGCCAGTGTGTTAGTGGAAAGCACTGGCAGTATTGAGCCTGCACCAATGAAAGCCTCAGAGAAGAAAACTTCTGGTGAGAAAAACGTTTCTGTATTTGTGCTTTAGGAGTGATTTTAGTCAACTTGGTTCTACTTCCAACACGCTACAGTGTGTTGCCTCAGCGCCTACAAGACTCAGTTCAAAAGCATCACTGGACAAGTAGTGGGGCAACCTAGTTGTGCAGTGCAATCATGCAGCCCACTGGCTAACTACAGTTGTTTTAAGAGTGTAGGATATATGTAGAAAAGGTATTAAACAAGGGACTTGGGCAGGGAGAGTCATATTGACAAGAGATGCTGAAGGCATGCCTGAGAACTAACAGGATCAGAGAAACCACTGGTTTTCCCACCATTATAAGGGAAAATTAGTGTACTAGAGTGTAAGTTACTATGGAAAGGGCAAAACTTTATTTTCCATGGTTGGGATAGTATAAAAAATAGACATATGATGTCAGACTGAGACTGACCCTTTTCAAGCGAGGAAAGATCCACTGACTGTCAGAAACCCTCAAGATGCTTTTGTAGAAAATATTATTGAAGAGGTATCAGAATGGGTCAGCACAGACAAAGTGCTAATAAACTCAAGGTGACACAAAGGGCACAAGTGATACTGATTGGTGAGGCTTTAGCAACTGAACTTCAGGGTGCAGTGCCAACCTGCCCTGAGCACGGCAAAACAACTGCATCATTTCACTTCCTGGGCTTGGCTCTGTACTGTCAGCATTGTCCCTGCCTGAAGAACTGATCAGAAATTAATGCAAGTAGAGGAAATGGCACAACCTCCTGTTACTGAAGAAGAATGTGAATGTGACAAGTGCTGTTCCATCTCCTTGATCAAGGTTTGCTTAGCCCCGTGTATTTATCTGGAGATATGAAAGGGATTATGAGTAAAATAACAAATCTCTCTGAAGTTTCAAGCTTTGTCATAGCTGACGGTACTCCAGCTGCCTTCCAGTTACTGTCCTGAACATGGAAGATTTGCCTCTCCAGACATGAAGACTTCGATAAAGAAACAGAAGTTAATGGTGTGAGTCAAAAATGTGGATGAGGTGTACGGTAAGTTCACATATATGCTAGAGTGTACACAGCATTACTGTAGGAGCCTAACCCAGTAATTACTAATGCCCTAAACCAAGGAACCTTACATAGAATAGAGGCTAAGGAAACATTCTCTACAACAGGATTAATTTACTGTCAAGCAGAAAACAACACAGAAGCATAAAAGTGACAGGAAATTAGGACTTAGATTCTATTATGGTGACGAGACTCTTTGCTGACTGGGAAGAAATCACTGGAGAAAAAGAGAAGGCTGGATGGAGTACATAACTTCATATTAATCCAGGTCTGGTTCTTCAGAGAAGAGGATGGAAAAAGTGGAACTGAAACTAGTTCTGGTTATGTGAATCATCTGGACAGAAGATGCAGTGATTTAATTCCTCTTCCGTAATAATGAGAGGGGAAAATGCTTGTAACACTGAAAATGAATTAATTCATTTTTTCTACTGAGCAGGAAAGTTCCATTCACAGAAACCTCTATGGCCAAATGAAGCTTTTAGTTAGCTAAGAACTGCTAAACTGTGTTTGAAGATATATTGCCTTCTATTGCATATAAAAGAAATCAAACATTAAGTACTGAATGATTTTCTTTAAGGTAAAGTTAAGACAAAGAAACAGAAAGCAAGTTACTGCTACCTGCAGCTAACTTCAGAAAGCAGTGGCATGCCTGTAACAAGGCCCACTTCAAAGAATGCAGAACTTCCAAGAGACATGGTAACATCTCTCTATTTAACTGAAAAGTGTTGAACAGTTTTATACCAAAATATCCTACTGCTAAAATTATTTTGAGTACTGCCTACTCCACAGGGTGGCCCCACCATCAAGTCCAACTGGTTTGCTATCTTTGCTGTGGGGAAGATGGGAAGAACTGTTAGTTTGAACAGCTAAACACTTTCCAGTTTGCAGAGGGAAAGGAGAAGTGTTCTTAAAATGGAACCTGACCTCCATAAAAACAGTTTGGACAATCTTGCTACTCTGGCACAGAAAGCAAACGATACTGAAAAATATTGACTGTGTAGTGTCCTGAAAAACAATGGAGATTAAAAATCCATCCCTCATACCATGATAAGCCTCTACATGATGTCTCAGATGTTCAACTATCATCTCCTTCAGGAAGAGCAGCTTTGACTACTTCATCTGTCAGGAGTAGCCTTTCAGTACCTGAAGTCAGCATGAACGTTAGTGGGAGTGACAGGTAACTATCAGAGGGCTCAATTACACTCAACTGTACAGGTACACTCGGCCAACAAAACGTCACCTCTCCAAGGAGGAGCGGGCTGAAGAGAGGCAGGGGGTTAGACTGAGATCCTAGTGAGCTGAACTCAGGGTAGGAAGGAGCTGAGATACAGTGATATTATGGTCTTTTAAACTTGGAGATAACATGGAGCTAGCTGGTTGCTCAGTTTTGCACCTAAATGATGTTTTTTCCTAAATATGGTTGATTATTGAGAGGTTTTCTGGCAGATACAGTCAGTGAGGCAGAGTGGTCCCTGCCACCAGGGGATCAGGTAGCTGGCTTTCTGACTGCTTTGTGCTGCCAGAAAAACCCAGAGATGCCTATATTAGGGAACGAATCTGACTCCAGGGATGCAAGCCATGTGAAAATTTTAATATGACATGGAGAAAATATGAGTTTAATGTACTGAAGCCCAAAACTTCTGTAAGCTAGTGGACTGCTGAATCAGTCGCTAAACAAAAATCTTCATTTCATTTCACTGGTCTTAGTCTACTCCTCTTTTTTATCTGGGTATTCAGACTTCCTAGGAAGTGCCTGCTTTGTGCTAAAAAAAGGCCTATACTCTTTGTCAGGCTTCAGAGGAGACCTAGCCCTTTCCTATCTGATCAGAAATGAAATAAAAATCCCTGCATGTTATTCTCAAGATACCACTTTATAGTTCCTATAATATAAAATTAAGTTCCCTAGCTTTAAAATGCGTGAGCTATCTCCTTATTGACTAAGGCACACTTTGTCACAATTTAGGGTCTGATTACCCCTATGTTGTGACTAAGTCAATGAACATAACATCATTAATGTGCTGGTACTGTTGGTGTTTCTATAATTAGAATGTCAACAGTTACAGCTAGCAGGGTTGATAAACTGAGACCCATATTCCAGGGGTTCTGATCTCTGCAATGGAATGTTGGAAGAAGAGATAACTTCTGCAGATAAGTTAATTCATAACCTGTTCCACTGAAGCACCGATTAGAGGTAAGGCACTAAGGTAGAGAGACCAGCAATCTGCTCAGGTATGGTTGTCTTATTCTACAGGGACTCATCCTCACTTAGCATCTGGCAAGTGGAAGTCTGCAAGACTCGTGCTGTATCTAAAAACATGAGGCCCAATCTGAGTCCCACCACCAGTGGAAGGACTCCTACTGACAAGAAGGGGAGCTGGCCCAAGCCTTAAAAAAAATCACATCTGGTCCTCAGGATACCTCTGCTTGAGGGTCATTCATTACAACCGCACTGCAGAATGGCTTCTTCACATCTCTCTGCTAACTCCCCAGCTTCCACAGCACACTGTGCAAGATTGCCTTTTGCTTATGATAGTTTATGCTCAAGAATGCACCTTCTTTACAATGCAGGGAAAGAATTAAAGCACCATGAGCAATTCGGGCCTAAAAGGAAAGTGAGACTTACAGGTACCTGACTTGATAGACTCAGGTTTGCAGCAGCTGACTTTTTCTTGCTGTTGGTACTATTTGCGTTGTTCCCAGCACTGCTGTTGGAAGTGCTGCTGGTAGAGTTTTTCCTTTTCCTCCGTTTGGTTGTCGGTTGTCTTGTGGGTTCTGCTGCAATAAAATGATAAGAAGGAAAGCAAATGGCAGATATTGTAAAGAGTGTACTATTACGATCCATAAGCAGAAGTGCCGAAATATTTTTTAATCTAGTTTTAAATTTCTGCGTTTAGTGGTAGTAGTCCTGGTAGCCTTAGTAAGATTTAGGTAGATTTAACACAGGAACTGTAGAATAATATTTGGACTCAAACCAATGGAATCTGTTGTCAGTTCTGTATAATAGACTAATGAAGATTATTCTCCCAGCACTACCTATCCGTAAAGATATTTGAAAGCATTTTACCAATGGAAGTATCATGACAGCTATCATGACACTCAAAGTGACCGTGTAACTTGCTGAAGGTCACACAGCAAGCAACGGTGCTCATCAAAAATCCAGGTCTTACTCTGAAGTAGGGTACAGCTTCAGCTGACCCAGCCAGAGGCAAAGGCTAAAGGCAGCTTTCTACACTACTGCTGCCATCGATGCAGCACACAAGCAACTACCATTTGAGACCCTTCTACTTCTGAGGTGGGCTTCACCTTTAGATCTGCCACTCCCAAGAGAACACATTAGAGCATGTTGAATGCCGTTTCTCTGTGAGTCTTCCAAACCCAGACTGAATTAGGACAATTACAGAACTTTGCTTAAATTGTCAAAGAACTGCAGGGCAATTGTACTTCTCAAAATTTGGCCTGGGCACCCATGTGAGTAGTCTTAGATATACAGATCTTTAATAATCTGAAAAAAGAGAGAATTATTATTTAGAGGTGTAAGAGGAAGGAGATTAGGTCCAGGCCAGTAAATAACATTATATTAGTCTCAAAGACAATTAATTATGAGTTGTAGCTGTAATTTCAGAGTCACAGCAGGAAGCTGAATTACACAAACGATGAATTCTAATGGAGCTAGTAGGCATTTTGCATTCCATCTACACATATTTTTGTACTAAATTATATCCTAGTCACAGTGAAACCATCTGAATGTGCACATCTATATATCAGTTGAGTCAGACTGAAATCACAAAACAGCAGAATCATTTTCAGGCTTACTTTTGGAACAGTGCTAATTCATATTACTTTCCTTTGTAAGTAAATTTGCAGTATATTTTCACATTGTTTCTGTTTTAATTTAACTATAAAATAAGTAAAACACTGGAAATGAAACATACCTGGTGGGGCCACCATTCTCTGCCATTTTTGAAACAAGCAAGTCTTCAAGCAGTCTCGAGGACTTAGATTGTAAGTTTTATGTCTTGACATCAGTTCCTGCATTGGCTCCAGTATTACACACAACTGGAAGAAAAAGTCAGAATATAATGATTTCATCCAAGCAAAGACTCAGCTGATCAGTATTTACATAGCTGGAAAGTCTTGTATTTTTTTTTTTCCCCCTCCGTTGCTAATGCAACAGACTATGCCTTGTACAGCTCAGTTTATTCTGCACTGGGACTGCAGAATCGAAACTGAACTCAGACAAGCTTTGCTCACTACTTGCTATCTTAAGTATTTTTTAAAAAAAGGTCAGATAAACTTCAGCTCTGGTCTTCCAAACTACAGAGATTTCAGAAGAGTAGGAGTTTTTCATGCTTGATGCCAAAGCTGCAAAGATGAACTAATAAATAATAAAATGCCTATAGCGAGTTATCATTCCTGTATAGCAAAATGCACACACAGTGATCTTCTGACCTGCTGCACTCCACAATGAAGACTTCTCATAAATGAGGGTTGTAAACATGCTATTTTATCTTGCTATTGCATACAAAATAACTCAAATAATTTTGTTCCTTTCTTGTTATGAGGGCTATACATTCTTTTCCCATCACATGAATGACATGTCCAAGAAAAAAGAGAAGCATTTCATTTTCCTAATCAGCTTGAATACTCTATTATGTTGAAACTGGAGATTTCTGAAAAGATGGAATTTCAAGGAAGCCTCTTCCTTACATAGTCTTATATATTTTCTATTTATTCACTTAGTAATTAAAATCACTGTTCACTGCTTTTTGCTTCTGTTAGCACAGGAGATCTAGCATAAAGAACACAGTGAGCTGGTTTCTATTCCCTCCTGTTTATCACCACAGAATCATTTCCAGTCAGTTAAACCTTATGCAAAGCCACAGAAAACTACAGAATTGCACACATGTAATTGAGGGCTTACTCTTGCTTGCAGGATCCTTGTTTCTTGGTCATCCTACATGAGAAACAAAAATTCAGGTTGACGCTGAAGTTCCACCTGAAAATTGCAGGGCTGGCACACAGGAGGAAAAGGTTTATTTTCTAACTGAGCACATTAGATAAGGCAATAGCTGATAGAATAAACGTGGAGCCTGCATGCAACTTTTAGGCACTTTTTAAAGCAGAACTGCTTTTAGAAGCTGGGGAATGACTGGCTTTTTTTAACCAACAGAAGTAGGGCAACAAGTTGGTCAAATTTTAGAAGTTAGAGTGCCATCACCAGAAAGGCATAACAAGCCAAGTCTTGTTTTGAGATGTTTGCTTAATTTTAGCAGGTCTTGCTGAAGGAGCATCTTGGATTTACTTCAGCAGGTGCTGTTTTCCTTCCAGGCTTTTACAAATACGACATGAGGCAAATACTTCTCTCTGGGCTGTAGAGCTGATCAATGTTTGCTCCATTCTCCCCAAGTGCACCCTACTCTCATTCATATAAATGGAGATGCAAAGTATGCAGGGAAAATAGCTAAAAGGGAGTTGTCATGAAGACTATAAACAATTAATTCAGCATTTAAATATTATTGTGTATTGACACTGTTTTTTGATGAGCCTTTCATTAACAGAACTTAAAACATAGACAACATAAAGCAGCAGGGAGAATGAAGAGCTTCAGTACGAGGAATTATTTTTTTTCCAACTGCAGAAATTGAACCTGCAGTTGACTCATTGAAATTTTTCTTACATAGGCTTTTTACATATAATTTTTGTGGATAAATATCTGCAAGGTAATATAGTAGACAGAGAGCTGCTATCAGATTGTGCACTTTGGGCTCAGATTTTCCTCTGGTTCAATATTCTACTGAAAATTAAGAGCATCAGGTCCTAAAGTATGTGCAGGATCCAGTTTATGACTGTGAAAGACGTGTTGTATTTTGAGTTCTTATTCAATTTATTCTGAAACCTGCAGGCACTTGCTCAGGTTTTGTGTGTCTGAGAAAGAGAGATTCGTGATCATAATTGACACTATTGCTTTGGTTCTCAAAAGTCTGGGTTTCTGGCAAGGCTGCCCAAATTATCTCATTTGTGAGCAGACAGTAACTAGCATGAAAAAGATAGCTGTGCTAATTCTTAACAAACTAGTTAGCCTGGGCAGAGCACTACACTCACATAGCTCTATTGCTGCTGTGACTAAAAGTATGTAAATATACATGTAGGGTCTTCCAAGATTTCCTTAGGGACACTTTATTCATGACACATTTACTCCTCTGTATATATTTATTGTTGGCAACAAAGAGAATGTTCCTTCTTTATCATCTGGCAAAGATGTTTTCTATTGTGCACTAACAGTAATGCACACTGAGGGGAACTAAGCAGTCCCTGCTGCCTGTAGATATCTTGACTGCTAATCCTGTCTATAATCTCTTTTACTTCACACAAAAGATTAGAATGGGATATGGACCCAAAATGTAGCGATGCCTGACTGATCTCACATGTGTGCGCTCAAAACAAGAAGCTCTGGGGCCCCTACACTGGGATGTGGGATGGTCTTGTCTTCCAGATATTTGACAGTTGCACAGACTTGTGTGAATTCCTCTTCTGATTCTGGGGAATTCACAACCATTTTCTCTCCCTGAAGTTTGCAAATTGTAAGGTCAGCTTTGGATGCCTGAGTAATAGGAGGGCATTGCACTCTATAGTGACAAGTCTATTTTAAATGCATCTAGCTCATGTGAATTGGGCACAAATGTAAAATGAACTGGATTAACAATGATTGATATTAAATCTCAAAGTCCTTCTCAGTGACCTCTGAGACCTACTTGAAATCTAAAGTGACTCAAGACCAAATCCCTGAAAGAGGAAAAGATCGTGGTCCAATTATCTTATGTCTGAGGAACCTGCCAGTGACAATCAGTAGCTTGGTTTTAGCAAAGAGCTAGATTAAAAATGTGGGGATAAAAAATGCATTTAAGAGCTAGGTTGGCCAAAACCGCCTGCCACCCTTAATTGCCAGCGAGCAGGGTAACTGGCAGGCTGGGTTGATGGCATTATTTTACAAAGTGACTTCTTAAAACAAAGCTAACAAAATGTTTTACATACTCCTGCATTCACTGGCATAGAGAAGGAGCCTGAGGCTTAGACTGCCTATTCCCCACAGATCACCTAATCTCACTCTGTGAGATTCCTTTTCAAAACATCTATTTTAACGTTTTTTCAAGCACTGGATAATATTAAAATGTTCAAGTCTTTACTGTAGAACCATAATAATAATTGGAACACCAACAAAACTGATCTCTTCTACAAGCATTTTTCTCACAGTTCAGAACCAGTCACCCAGGGAAACACTTTAAATACTTAGAGACTTTAGTACAGTGACACTGTCTGATCACAGAAATAACTTCTACATTTCTAGGAACCCAGAACCCTTCATGGCAATGCTTGAGAAAACAGAGTTAGAATCATAGAATACTTCAGGTTGGAAAAGAGTTCTTGGCCATCAAGTCCAACCATTAACCTAACCCTACCAAGTCCACTGCTAAACCATGTCCCTAAGCAAGGGATATTTCCAAGCTCCACGTCCAGGCAACACAAAAGGCAGGACTCATTTGCCCACACAGAGGTGTCTGGTGCCAGTTGAGGTGCCCTAGGTTATCCTGGATCTGATCTGTCTGATTGCTCTTGCTGTCCTAGAAGGACATAAGGCTCCATATGGATGTTTCAGGCACTAGAAAGTGTCAGGCGTGGGGGGGCAATTGAGTGAAGCCTGAAGTTAAAATAAAATTAAAAAATGCTTCTTTTAGATTTTAAAACATATTCGGAAGAATGTGTATCATAATAGATTATATACTCTCCCTCTGCAGTACTAAAACATACTGAGAGAACTCCACATGATGCTTAGAAACCCAATTAGAATTTGGTTTATGAGAATTACTTTCCAGTCATGTTTCCTTACTTGAACTCATCACAACGTTGTCTGACCTTTACTGCAGAACCATTGCTGTTTCACCGTGGACAGCTGTGAGTTGGATCCAGTGCTAAAGACAAACACAGGGCTTTACAGTGAGAGGAGCCACTGGCAGGAGAAGTCTCTGTCCGTGGGTGCTGGGCACACGCTGGGGGCCACACATGCATTCTGGTGCTGTATAGAGCGTCAGTGATTTTGCTAGAGTTCCATATGGATCCCGTGGACAATTCATCAATTACAGGGCTTGGATCCAACTCGAGAAAACGGTAATAATATACCCTTGGGGTTCAGGGAAGTGAAAGTAGGGAACCTAATAAAGCGCATGGGTTTTTGTGTTAGTAAAACACATCTGGAAGGATGTGATTTTTTTTAATGACTTTTTGTTCTTTTTTTTTTTTTTTTTTTTTTTTTTTTTTTTTTTTGTAGAGAAGACTAACACTTCTAGGTTTCAGAAACCAGTGTGTTTTAAGAAGGCAGTTATATGAGGAGATATCGGAGGTACTGCAGACAGGAGTTAGAGGGTTCTGAGAATATGGATCCACGTGTAATTTCCTGTAATACTTCAGTTATCAGCAGAGCCAAACCTGGCCTTCATAGGTAAGGGGTCAGATTCAGCTCTGAGATCACTCCAGTCACATCAAGAATGGTTTTGTAATGTTCTAACACTGGGTTTCTATTCTATTCTGAGAATAGATGTGCATTCTTCACAGCAGTGATTAGCAGAAAGACCAATGTGAAAGCTCTCTTTTACCTTTCTTTTGCATACCATAAGCTTATGTATTCTATTGCCAATTTAATTAGCAATTTCCCTCTTCAGTGAAATCTCTTATCTCTGTGAATTCTTCATGTTTCCAGTAGTGAAGGTTTGTCACGGTCCTGCCAGCTCTGAGCTGCAGGTGGCAGAGCTGGCCCAGCTAACAGGCCTCCCCTGCTCACAGGCTAGGAGCACAAAAGAAGTGCAGCCCTTCTGTCTTTCAACACTTTTTGCATTTTAAAGAGAATTCAGTGGGACTTGAGTCTTGCAATACTCAGGTGGTGAGACTGACATAACCACCAGCCGGTTTCTTTAAAGCAGGAAACATAGAATCATATCTGGTCAGTAAGTGCTTAGCAGCCAATGAGTCCCAGTCTAACAAAAGAAGCAAGTTTTCAGAACTAT